CTTCACAGATCCACAGTAGACACTTCTTAGCTGTGAATACTCAAGGAGATTCATGTCAGAAAGGACATTATGATACGAGTCTGCCAGCCACTGATAGACACTCTCCTAACATTTAACGTTGCTCCCTGGTCATTGTCACCAGTCAGTTAAGTGCAGGGTTGAACTGGTAAGACAGGTCAGACCAGGGAGGATGCTTACAGGCTGCCAACAGGCTCAGCTCCCCGAATACTGCACAGTATAGCCAGAATAAGTGAGAAGATGGAGGAGGGCACAATATATCATCTCCACACCTCACTGGAGCTGGAGCCTGCTATGTATTAGTGCTCCTGTTTTAAAGTTAAATCATACCTATCATTGTGCAGCTCAGCAAAGGAAAGCAAGCAGACTGAGTACATATCAAACATATTTATTTCTGTGTGCATTATGAGATCTATTGTATTTAAATGAGTGTTTAGTATTACCATATATTTTGATTATCCTCACCCACAGATGATTTTACATTGTTCTTGATTGTACAAATTGTTTTAAATCTCAGATGGGATGCAGTTCAGAGTATGTTGAGTCAGCCCTCGGACCGCCTGCTGCCAGGATTAATCAGCTCTGTCGCTGTTGTTGATGATTCTTTCCCCCACCACAGCAGTCCTCCTCTGTGTGTCTTGTCTGTCCCTTCATCTTCTTTTCTTGTGTCATCCCGCTCTCCTGTGAATTGGCATAAAAAGGGTCAGATTCTTACATTTTTACGCCCGTCATTTCCATTTCTAATCCTCCAAGGCTCTGTCTTGGCTCACACCAGTGATGCAGAACTCTGAGCACCCACCCACTGAACAGTGTGCCGCAGTCACAGCCAAAATAATGCTGCCAGGAGAGTTAGTACAGGTGAATATGGTAGGATGGTGTCTATTTTTCCTATTTGAAAAAGAAAACATACATAGTTTAAAATGCACATGGTGAAGAAACCTTTTTTTGTCAATGCTGAATTTCCACTAGATTGTGCTTCTGTTTATAGCTGTTAAATAAGCCATTTGACTGATTGTGAGGCAGTAATTAAAAAGCAGGCTAAACAAAATTTTCTTTTTTGTCCTTTCTTGTCAGTGACTATGGTGACTGAAAATAGAAAAGCTGTGGCAAGCTTTGAAACTTCAAAATGTCATTTGGTAGCTTGGTTTCGGATCAAATCCAAATCATGAAAGAAATGAAATAAAATGATGTGCCGTACTCTTAAAAAATAAATTCTGAAAACAAAAATGGCAATTTAGCTATGGCAGTTTTAGACAGTACACATTGAGCACTTTTATATATATATTCATAATGACAGACCCAAGAGCTTAACGAAGATGTATTTTTAGTTTAGTTGTCAGTTAAAATGAAAATATCATAAAGAGAATTAAATCTGGATTTTATTACTTTTATATATAAACTCTAGTAAAAAAAATATGTTGATTATGTATGTATGATTCTTTGGTGTTTTATTAAAAATCACATTTGCAGAGGGGTTGCAGATGAAAATAACAGCTGTCTCCAAAATAAAATTTTGATATGAATAGAAACTTCAGCATGTATCAAATCAAATTCTTCCGCAGAGAAAGCAAGAGTCACCAATGATGACTGAATCGGCTCCTTCAAGCACAACTCCTTCATCAGTTCCCACAATAACTCCCCCAAAAAATATCATGTGTGAGCGATATGAGACTGGCCAGATGAGCTTTTTGATTGACAAGCCTGAGCTTTAATGGCAGCCTGATGTCAGCTGCTCCTTTCAGCTGTGCTTAAAATGTGATAAGATATTTATAGACCAATTATACCTACTCCCACCCACACACGTGCATACACACACTCCTGTGCACACACACACAACAGTTCAGAAGCCAACAGAGTGGATGCAGATTGGCGCACTTTAACTGCGGGGTATTACTTGCTGTTAGACAACTGTTATTATGTTCTCAAAGTAGATCTAAGAAGCAAAGTTTGGACCAAATAATGATATTAATGAACTCGAACTTCGTGCAAGCAAGTCATTTTTTGTAGTACTCTTATCCTGAATCCCACAGAGGCAATCAGAGTCCATTCAAATCCGCATGAGAATCTAGGCACGGGTCTAGAGACTTGAATCATGCAGCAGAATTATATAGAAAGTGCGTCTCTCAATCTCAAACGTTGAGAAGAAACCTTGGGTTTATTGCTGAAAGCCAACTCCAAATAATAAATAGAGTTGTAAGTACAGACAGAACATTAGGTCCGTTGCTACAGGGGAATCTCTAAGAGCTTATCACATTGATTGAAGTACTTAAATTCAGGTGTTGAACAGTATAACATATCAGCGCAATCAAACCACACAATTCAAGAATATTCATTTAGTTTATCCATACAAAGCCAATACAATATTTTGAATTGACATAATTTTATAGAGAAGACAGGAAGTTATAATCCTTTTCAAACTTGTGCAAAGACAAGATAGTCATAAATTGAACCTTTCCTTGTTTAGCTGTTTAACAAAGAAAAAGTGAACAGCTATGACTCATCTTTCATCTCAAGTGTTTGATTAAAGTGTCCGGTTAAACCAGCTACTCTTTAATCCCAATCCTAATAGCATTTTATCTTATATTAAATGATTATTATTGTATTATAACATATATAACACATTGTAGAGGAAACACACACAATAAAGGGAAAGCTGTCTGCCTCCTGCAGACAGAAAGACACATTTAAGTGATGAAGAGACAGGCGAGAGCAGGGAGAAGCAGTCTATGAAGATGTGGAATAAGTAATAGAAATATTGGAGAATATTTGTAACTGCTAAAGATATTAGCTATTCAATGTCCTCTCTCTCCAGCCCTCCACTCTTTTCACTCTCTTTTGTCTCTTGCAATTTCCTCTTTGTGAAGAAATCCAGCCATTTTCCCTCTCTCCTGTTGTCTGGATGGATGTTGCTAACACTGCAGACCTGTCAGTCATTCATCTCTTGGGGAGGCGGGCTCATTGCCTCAGTTGGGGGAAGTGACTGAGCTGAATAGTTGATTGGCAGAATCGAGAGGGAGAGGAGACAGTGGGGTGGAATACTTAGAAAGTGGAGCAGATGAGCGCTGAGGAGAGAAGGATATGGAGCGTAAACAGTCTCTTTAAGAGATACAAACAAAGGAGGCCAGCATGAGAGAGAGACTGTACATACACTGATGCTTTCTTGAATTTGCTATGATGAGAAAAAACGGACATCATTTTAAAAAGAAGGGTAACACCTGAATGCAGAGATAAGCCTGGGCAGTTGAATATAGTGTAACAGTGATTTTTTTCTCTCTCTCTCTCTCTTTCTTGAAAAAAATCCTTGTAGGAGTGTGGATGAACAGGCTTGATATGATTTAAAATACTGGCTGGTGGCATGATATAAGCAGACCATCCACCGCCAAAGGACTGGTTGAACAGATGTGATTGAAAAGAAGAATGCATTAAAAATACCTGCTTGGAGGTGGATACATATAAGCAATTAAGTGGTGAAACAGCTAGACTGTAAAGGCAAATCTAGCAGTGGTGAGTTGTGACGTTTGGCTTGAAATTGTAGTCTGGAAGTGGATGGTCAAGAGGATGTGTTACATGACGCCTACTTAACAGTTTCTGAATTTAGGAGAACATTTGTGTCAGGCTGAGGCTTTGTCAAAAATTGGCAGAGATCATGAAATGTTGTCTGCAACCTGAACACAGCCACAGTTCTTAAATTATTTAGGTATGAATTTGTGCATGAATCACTGTAGAGGATATTGAAGTCTACCAAATCCAGAGGGTAATTCTTTCTTTGTCTTTATTTTTACAGGCTGGTAAAAACAACTGGGAAAGTGTTAAATAGGGTATGGAGAGAAAATCAGTCATGTACTGTTGATTCTGTACAGCGCTGAAAATGCTGAAAACTGTGAACATCTGGACAGTGCATTGGGCGCCCTGAACAGGTACAGAGTGTCCAGCTCATGAAAGAAGTCAATGTTATAAGAACCAACTCTGTGACCTTCTAGTTAGAAGGACGTCTCTACCTTCTAGGCATCACTGCTTTCAGGGATATTGATTTATTACAAGCCAGTAAGATTTCAAGGACACTAATGTGTTGGTCAAAGATTGGTGTCATGAGGACTGGTCATGAAACTTTAATCAAACACGTTTGGCTTATCTCATTGGGGAGGCAAATGAAGCAAAAAGTGGAATGATGTGATCAAGGAGCAAGCCAAATTTCGGAGCATCATGTCAATAATTTGCAGAAGATGGGTTGCAGGAGTTCTCCAGTGCCTTGGCAATGATTGGGGTGTTGATGGGCATAGAGAGGTGGATCAGCTGTTTGGTTGGGATTACAAGGCAGGTGTTGCAGGGATAGCTCTGAGAGCAGGTTGTACAGATGGAGAGGACTGTGCATAATGACACTTTGCAACAAGGCTGATTGAAGTTATTGCCAAAACGTCTGATTGGCCCCGGTAATGTGTTTGTCTGGAAATGGTTGTCGGGTAGAAAGATTGGAGGGAGAGGTAGAAGTGAAGTGCATGAAACTGCTTGATGAGATTGTGTGGGAACAGTGAAGCCCAGGAAGCCATAGGCAGAGATGGTTGGTGGTTAAAAAAGCCAACAGTGTAAATACACAGATTATATTCAATGAGTCCCAACCTGCAAGTGAGGCAGGTGGGTTTTGTAAGAGCCCTGATGAGAAATGGACTTTTACTGTAGAGATGTCAAAGCGGCATCCAGCAGAAACCTGTGATGTAGGCAGACTTTTTTGCTCATTAAAATACTTGATTTGACTGTTCATTATTTTGTGTAAGGCCTTTCTCAGTGCAGAATTACCATTCTCAGGAATGATTGTGTGAATAATGCCCAAGAGTTATGACGAAGATATAACCAGTATCAGGTTGTGTTTGTGAGGCAGGGCTTAACTGAAATGTTGAACACAGGGGTATCACATTGGTGTGTGGCCATCACACCTTGCAAGATAAATGTGCTGCATCTGTGACAGTATGCAACTCTCTCCAAAGGTGCCAAAGAGGTGAATGCAAGCGGGAAGACATTTACAGTACGGAGCTCTCTGCAGCTGCATGTGGACAGAAATGATGATGGAGTGGCCTACACCTGCAAAGTGGACCATGTGGCACTCACACAGACACCACAGCAGGCCACTGAAGTACTGGAGGTCCACTGTGAGTGTACACACACAGACATCCACACACTCAAACAAACACACATGTACTCTACATGTAGACATGAGAATAAAAGAAAAATACATGAAAGAGGAAGTTACAATATTGCATTTTTAAAGAGTGGTTTTATTTCAACCTTTTAATTTTATTTTAGAGTTGAAGATTTTTTTTAAGTGTTTCCATTCTTTACATATTTACATGGCATTTACAGTGCATGTGCTTTTATCACACAAACTGGCCTGGGCAAAAATGTAATAATTTATCATCCATGAAAATCTTCATGAACGCACACCATACATTTTTGTTTCATGCCTTTTTAAGATTTGATTTTGAATATTTTACTAAGCCTTCTCTATCTGTCCTAGATGCTCCTCGTGTGGAGATCATCCACTCCCTTGCAGTCCCTCAGGAGGGCCAGTACCTAAAGTTGGAGTGTATGTCCAAAGGAAACCCCCCGTAAGTCTCTCAAGTTCTGTATTAGTGGATGTCAGCCTTTTATACAATGCTTCAGACAGTAACATGTAGCACGCCTCATTTCTCTTTCACATCCTCTAACCTCAAGGCCGGATCCTGTGATGTGGACAAAGGACGGGGGTGAACTTCCTGACCTGGACCGGATGATCGTAGAGGGGAGGGAGCTCACCTTTACTTCACTCAACAAGACAGACAATGGCACCTACCGCTGCGAAGCTAGCAACCACCTTGGGACCAGCAGTGCTGAATATGTACTCTATGTCTATGGTGAGTCCAGAGAAAAGGCTGATATGTGGGTAATCATGTTTCTTGGGATCGCATCCAAAGGTAAAGGAACAGAGAGAAATTGACAGATGGAGGACATGTAAAAGAAAAAAATGAGGATACCTTGGACACCAGTAATGTTACATATAAATAGTAGAGTATATGAACCTCACAGGCACCAAACTCCACTGCAAAAACCAGGATTATAATACCTCCTGATCTGCATACTGTATCAGTGCTAAGAGTGATTAGTGGTACCATCTCTCACAGGGAGAATAAGGGCCTCAGGTGACACAAATGCCACCAACGCCTTTCCTTAAATAAACCTTCGTCCCAGATCCTCCACACCCACACACACACACACACACACACACACACACACACACACACACACACACACACAGACAGACACACACACACACACACACACACACACACACACACACACACCAGGAGGGAAATGTGTGAGGGAGGCAGAATTTAGTGCTGCGTTGTCAGGAATATCACCAGGAAGGATAAGTAATTCCTAGTAACGCCAGAGGAGGTGGAGGATAAAGGGACTCTGTGTGAGGGAAAACAGATAGCTCATCCTTTTCTCCACTGCCATTTGTCTCTTGGCATTAAGTAATAATGTTTTTAAAAAAAGAGTGGAGCAGTGACACATCTCTTTTCCCTCTGTTTTAGGAACTTAGGGAGTGTGTGATGAGGGACAAAAAGGCAGGTAGTTTTTGGCCAGAGAGACCGACTGGAGGCAAAAGAGAATTTCCCAAAGTGGATCAATAAAATATTACATTATTATTATTACATGCACCTGGGGGGTGTTTCATTTGCTCTTGTATTTAAAAGCAGACCTAATCTGATGAAAATGATGAAAAACATGAGAGAATAAACCTCTCAGGTGCCGATGGCTATGCTTTGCCAGAGCTAGAGTGATTTCTAGTATGCTCTTGACTGTCCTTGGTGTGTGTACAGTAATAACCAGATGTGGAGCCAATGAAGGATGCAACCAAGGTTACTATCAATAGTTCATGAAGTGCTTTCTGCTGGTCATAGTCGAGGCCACAGCAACACGTAAAAAGCTCAAGAGTCAGGAATGTTAAACATTAAAATGCTACAAATGCTAAACAACATAGTAATTGGTGCATTGGTGGAGATCACATAAGTTACATTTGATTATTTGTATTTATTGCTCACTTTTATGTACCTCAATGCTGTAATTTATTACATCTAGACACCTCACAGTAAGAGCCAATGTATACTGTCCACATCCTCATGCCTCCAAAGGTCCTCGCGAGATAAATGTTGTAATCTGTCTATGTCCGCAAGGATTGTTTGTTGTGCGTATGCAGACACCTGTCTGTCTATGCAGACACTCAATGTAGGGTTTTGTTTATACCGTTAGCTGTCTGCATCCACGTGTCAGTCATCCACATGTCAGTGCCACATAGATGTGTAAACTATGTTTTAAGCTGGAACAGAATCATCGATGTGTCCGGTGTCCACACCCCAAATGGAAAGTTTTTATGCTAGCCAGGTAGGCCTGTTGATTACGATTGATTACAAAACAGAAATAACACATATAGGTTATTCATTTTTTTCAACAAGAGAGAAGAAGGATCTTGACTTTGGCTATGTCATTACAGAAATGACGACATGGACAGTCAAGTGCTTTAATAGATCTGTGGATGAAAATACGGCTATAAATGTCATATAAAAAGAATCTCATCTTCTAAATGAAAGGTACTTTAATGGCTTACAACTTGATCCTTGATCCTAGCTGTGCTGAGTTGTGTATTTGGAGTAAAATTAAAATGGCTACAATAAAGGTAAGGACAAGGTAAAATATCAATGTTATGCAACTCAAAAGGTATTTCTCCTCATAGGTAATGCTGCCAACTATATTTTTTATTTCATTCTATACAGTAGCTAGTGTGACAAGACCATTTTTTTTGTTTTTGTTTGTTTCGTTTTTTGTATACTGTATGAAGACCTTTTTCAAACCATCATAAATGTAGTAATAACATTTATAGTAAGTAGTATTGTAGTAATAGTTCTATTACTAAGATATTTAGTTAAAACAAACAATTTACAGCTGCCATATTTGCTTTCAAAGACACAAAACAGGTCTGCACTGAGCACTGATACATACCATCTGATATTCATGATACCCTTTCCTTCAAATTCAAATTTTCCATGAAGGCTGAAATGTGAAGTTCAAGAGCAGAATTCACATACAGGTATGCGGGCAAGAAAATGCACTTCCTACCAATGTGTGAAACTGATCTCCATGCCAGTTAAATCACACTAGTCAGCAGCATATTGATTAGGATTAGCAAGTGAAAAGATAAATAATGTAATTTTCTGCTTTAATATTTTATCGGTCCATTCCAATAGGTTTATCAGAGACCTTTTTTTATGTAAATCTTAAAAGTTTCACCACATACTTCTGAGATTTTTGCACTTCCTTACCTAATTGCCCCACATACCATGATGTATGTGTGCAATTTCTTTAAATGCCAGCTGAATGTAACAATAAGAATAACCAATGCACTTAATGACAGTGATGTTATTAAACTGACAAATTCTACGCCACAAAAAAGGCAATTGGGTATGGGAGGGTCAAAGAGTCCTATCCAGATTCATTACGTGTTCTTTTGAAATGGCACCCAGCCTGTTCCTACCCTTCATTAGTGATTAGCACACCTTTTAGCCTTTTACAATTGTTGCCATAATTCTTGGAAAATACCTTTTTAATGGTTCCCCTCCAACAAGGAGACGCTTTCTCTCTTCTCTCTCTTTCCTGAAGACATGTACTTAGCTGCTTAGTGATTCACAGTAAGGCTGAAATGTCACTGAGACGTGCAGGACAGTTGGCCCTGAGAAGGAGTACCACAGCCAATTAAAAGCCTCCAGCTAACCATAAAAAGCAGAGTGACATAAACATAAAAGCCAAGGTGGTAGTGTAACCTCATTAACTTTGTCACACAATGTTTCAGTCCCATTTTCCCTGTTGCTTTAACAAGTGATAGTGAGAAACACTGCCTGAGATGAAGCCCTTTTACCATCATCCAGTGGTGAGAAGTCAAAAACAGAGCAAGGAAATGGTGGGCTTGGCTACTTTTTCCTGAACTCATCTTTGCAAACATGGATAATTGGCACAGATCATTTGTCAAATTACTTTCCTCATTTCGTTTAATCCAACTTTCCCAGTTCCCAGTGCAGGATCCATCTCCACAGACATCAGCCAACATTAGCAGATTCAATGTTAATCCTGTTCTCTTGCTACAGAAAAGAGCCTCACATTCAACGACAGAACATTTAAAATCATTATGACTGGGAAAATAGAAAGGATTTGGACTCTAACGTAACATGAAGATGTCAGACTTCACAATTTTTTCAACTTTAAGTGCACATTGCATCACTCTTTTTCAAAATGTTCCCTTTTTGCTACTCCCACTCAAGTGAAAAAAAGTCAAAATCTACCCCTATCTTTTCCTGAATGAATACACTTTATTTATGAATTCTAGCCATCGTGGTCTACATAGTCTATGCTAAACAGTTATAACTCAAAAGTACATAAGACATTCAGCTTTTTAACATTGTGTTTGCCTCTTCAAAAACAGACCCAACTGAACTGTGACCCAAAGAGAATCATTAAAAGTAAATGATTTGAGAGGCTTTAACTGAGCAGTTATGCAATTTTGCAGTGACAGAGGTCATTTAATTTTCATAAACTACGCATTAATTACGCACAAATTAATGTATGTTGTGTAGTTCATCAACAGTAATTCCCTCCTGCGTTTTCAACAATCTTATGTTGTATGCTTTGAATTGTGTCATAATTTTGCCCTTTTTTTAATTTCCCATCTCAATATAATATTTTGCCCTGTACCGGTTTGTGTTGTTCATTTAAAGTATCTAACTGCCCCCGTGTGAATTCATTTTTTGTGTTTGTTGTTGTTGTATTGTTTTTGTGTACATGTGTCTTTCTGTCCCCTCCACCAGACGTCCCCACAACCCTGCCTCCATCCACCACTCCCCCCCTACATCCCATCCCTCCAGATCCTACTGCTCTATTAGGCACCCACGCCTCAGACCCCACAGTCACTGGCAACAGAGGTACAGTACCACCCCATGCATCTCCACAACCCCCTCAGCCTGCTACTGTACATTGCTACTTCGCTCTTCCCTCTGTCCTATTACTTCTCTTTTAGCTACTTCACCGCCTCAAGTGTTTCAGACATACTGAGAACTGAAAAAATATCTAGTGGCAAATGTGCTTTCTGGGACAAAAGTCTTCTGATGCTGCCATGTCTACCTTTTATTTTTATTATAAGCCTTTTAGGGCAAACATAAGCTGTATGCCTTATTGATGGTCATTGACATACGTTTCCATTGGAATTAACTTTTGTGGTTTTACATTAAAGACATTATTCAGATTTTTAAAGTTTCTAACACATTCCAAGCCATTGTATTCAAAAAGAGTCCAGCTGCTCAAATACTCCATCCACTGTCCCCTTGGCATTTCAAAGACTTCAGTACTTCTGCGCCCTGAAACCTCAAAGAAGCAAATGTCATGTCCAACTGAAAATGTCTGGCCACTGGAGATGTCTCATCATGACTCCTAATGCTGTGTTAAATCTTTGAGAATTTTGACTTGGAAAGCTCTTTTTCAGAGAGTTAGCATTGCTATTTGGTGTTCTTAGAGAATCTATTTCTGAGGTGAATGAATGCTGTTGATATAATCCTTTATAGCATTACAATATAAAATATGAATAATGAGATGTCATCTATAATAAGGCTGAAGAAGAAATGTTGGGGAGGCATAAAATGCTGAGGTTTTCTTAAATTTCTGCAGAGGTTGATGACAGCTATGGTTATGGATTTAAACTTTAATCAATGGAATGCAATATAAATTAAGTTCCCATATCTGTCCTGCAGCACGAATGACACCTAAAAGCAGAAAAACAATCAAAAGATGTTTTCTGGATACCAAAACTCCTATAATAGTATTGATGTCGGCATATCTGAGACATTTTGTCATGTCAAAAAGATTTCTAAGCTCACACACCCCACAATACGGCCCGCCACATACAAGGTTAGGTGTGGTGGGCTGGTTTGCTGCCTGCCAGTCAGAAGCAGGCAAAGGTGGAGGTATGTTGACCCTGTGCTACAAAAACTCAATCCGCTACAGCTACATAGTTAGTTGGAAGATTTAGTGGAAGCCTTACCGTCCCTTCTGTTGTAGGTCAGTGAGTTGGTTAAAAAGCCCTGCAGTGATAAGGTGCCAGATGGATGACATGGGGAAATTTCTGAATATTCTGTCTTGGTTAACATGCCTCTTCAATGGTGTGTGGAGGTTGGGGACGGCACCTATGTACTCACAGATGGAGGTTGGTGATTTTTTTTAAAAACAGGAGTGGAAGGGTCCTCCAATTACTGTGGTATTACACTGCTCATCCTTCCTATTAAAGCTTGTGCCAGTGTGCTGGAGATAACATTCCAAACAATTGTCAAACTTCAGATTCATTTTGTAGATTTTGTACCCGCTCTTTACTCTTGCAAGGATTTGTACATCTGATCATTTGCGTGGGCTTAAAGGTTTAGTGTGTAGGATTTAGAGGCATCTAGTGGTAGAGTTGCAGATCGTAACATTATTTCCCTTTTGAGTGTATGTTTGCACTAAAAGGGGTCAGTTGGGTTCAGTCAAGAATCTGATCAAGACCCCCCCCCCCAGGCACATCCAAGAGTGAGGGGACCCTTGGGAAAACCCAGTACATGCTGGTGGGATTGCATATTTTACCTGGATTGTGTGTGCCACAGGATTGAGCAGTTTAAATTGCAACTCCCACACTTCACCCTCCCCTTCCAAGCACAAAGGAGAAATGCACCTATCTAGAGTCAGTGTTTTGTTCGTCACTTCTGTAGAAACATTGCGGTTCAACATGGCGGACTCCATGGAAGGCGACATGTGGTGTCTGTAGACGTAAAAGGCTCATTTTAGGTTAACAAAAAATAACGATTCCTCTTTTCAAGTGATTATACACTAATGAAAACATACCTATATGCCATTTCTGCCAATAGATCTTCCTAAATGTCACACACTGGAGCTTTAAGCTGTACCTTATAATCCAAATTGAACAGAGTTAGCATCATCCAACATTTATCCAACATTAGTTTTCTTAGCAGCTGGACAGGAAGGGGTTAAATATCCAAATTACTTTCATTTCACTTTTATTTTCAGGTTATTATAAACTAATGAAAAAATATATCTGTGAATATTATATTCCATTTCTGCAAATAGCTCCTATGTTACACACTGGACTATTGTTTGGTTGAATTTGTGTTTGTATAGTGATTCTGTGTCTTTCCTGCTGCACTTCTGCAACAATAATGCTGACATAGCACCATGTTGGCTACAGTAGAGTGATATGCCAATCAAAGTTTTTGAGTGACATGTCAATTTAAAACTAATGTGCTGTGATAGGCTGTATGCAAATAGCTTGCTCACTCATATATTATCCTGATCATGCTGAATGTGACATCTTTTTTTAAATGATTTTGTAAACTGATAATCTTTTATATATTTAGCCCATAAAATGTGTTTTTTGTGTGTTTGATAACATATTTTAATATGAAATACACAAGACACTGATCTTAATCCCAAATTCACAGCATGTTTTCTCTGTATTTCTTCTGCAGCATTATTCATTTTCATTTATTTGTCCATTCTGTCACCATATAGATGTAGCAGAGTTTACCTTCTGTCTTGTCTCTGCTTTTTTGCTCTCTCTCCATTCCTCTTCATGGCGCTCCACAGTTCCATTCACTTGGAATAATTTCCTCTCATCACCGCTGCTTTCTTTAAATTACCATCTTTAAAGTCCTTCAGGAGTCTTGACTCCCCCTCTACCTTTCCTCTGCTGTTTTGCTTTCTATCAAAGCTTTTGTTTCAATTTCCCCTCACTCGCTCCTTCTCTTCTACCCTCACATCTCTCTGAAGACCCTGTTAGATAACAGGCTTCCACACGTTGTTGGATATTCCTCATCAGCGTGTCTCAATTCTTCTCTGATGTCTGTTTGTGTAGTGCAGAGACACAAGAGGAACTGAGACTCTCAGTGTATCTTCAGGGAATCTAAATATCAGACTCCTTCACTGCGTCCCCAGTCACAGGATACTACACTATCTGCTTTCATGTGTCTACTTGATTTATTACCAGGTCTTTTCACAGGCTCTGGATGAAAGCAAACAACTGTGGAGCTGTACCAGCCTCGCAACGTTTTGTCTTTTTAATAAAGTTGTCTTCCTGTGTAGACCAAATACACATTGTAGGTTTCGGCACTATAGCCTGTATGCAGAATAGTGGCATATTATATACCTGATGAGCTCTTTCAGGTGCAACTTTCTCTGCTGTCTTTCTTACAATAGTCTTGCATCTTTCCTCAGTTTCCCATCATCAGCAGTTTGGATCATCTACCACAACTCAGGCTGAGGCATTTTCCGACAAGAAACAGTTGAGAAGAGATAAACAGTTGGTGGTAAAAATAATCAAAATAAAAAAGTTGTATAGAAAAAATACATAAAAGTATACAGCAAGGCAACAAAAACAGAAGGTGGTGCACCAAATGTGCAGCTACAAGTGATATCTTTTTAATATTGTTTACTAAGTGTAACATAGCCATTCCATCCAATATTTGTCCAGACTATAATGCTGCTATGTACTCATTGTAATTTGAGTCTGGCACTGAGTTAAAAAACAAAATGGCCTGCACATACAGGATCTGTAAAATGTTGCAAAAGTCACATTGTGAGTGTTGCTTTGAGTGTTTATAGTAATCCAGTTGCAGTGCAATCCCTGTTACTATTACAATTTTAGATTACAGAATGATGAATACCCCATGTTAGTGTAGAAACAAAGTCAAATGAATAATTTCAGTGAAGTCATTAATTTAAAATACACATGTTCATCTCTGTGTGGAAGTAGCCACCTAACAGATTTTCTCCACCACGTTAGAAATACAGCATATAGCAAAATCGCAATGAATGCTAGTATTTTATCTTCTTTTTTTTATTTGCCATCATTACACTATATCATGACATTAAATCATGTGTTTGTGAATTTGTCGGCTTTGTATATCAATTATTTGATTGTTTGCTTTTCCACTGAAAACAAAGTGTTTTGATAAAATTAGGCTCTATAGCTCTTAACTAAGTCTGTAAATTTTTGTTTTTTGTCTTTTGACTATTGTTATTCTAATATTACGTGTGTCTTCAGCCTCCCAGACCTTTAGTGTTACGACCTTCATTGTAAGTGAACTCCTGTGATATTAGTGCTCTTTCAAAGTCAACAGTGAGGTCTTTTTGGCTTTGATTTTAATAAGCCCTGTTAGCTACCATGACAACCCCGGCCAACGGGAAAGCAAGGTGGCTGAACTATCATTAGGCCCAGAGGAGAATTTTGATTTGAGCAAACTGGATGGTATATTAATTCACCATAAAATAACCTTCATATTAATTGGAATACATTTAAATTGAATAAAAATACAATATGATAGTTTCATATAAAATTGAAAATAGGTTTGTTTAGTCTCCTTCTAATCAAAATATGTAATAAACGGTTACTGAACTAAACCTTGGATACGAAATATACTCACATTACTTACTTATATATGACCGTTTTAGGGCTTTTGGGCCAGGAAAAGAATGATTTTAGAGAACATTGCATTCCATGTGCAATATCTATGGGGGTATTGTTCTTTTCACTTGTTTTCCGATATCCTAAAAATTGTATTCACTAACAAGATGATCTAGCACAATCCAAGACAGAAACAATATTTGCATGATGGCCCGCGCCTTTTCTCTCAATGAGTTCTTCTCCTCTCAGGAGTTAAAGGATTAAATATTCTGTGTTTACAAAAAAATTGTAAGATATCACATGTGACATTATTTTACAGTATCATTTTACAATAATAGCTTTTTTAGATCTAATTTTGCTGACATAGTGAGAGTGAATATTAGTGGCCAATGCAATAAAGTACTATTTAATGGAGCACTTATTTCTTGCAGAAATATTAGTGAATAAATATTTCATGCTGTAGATTCAGTGGTTCTAATGGGA